AATATAGAACACGTAAGTCCGATGCAAATTATTCCGCGCAATGCGGAAATTTTCACCGCAACGCGCGGTAAATCTTCCCTCTAAATCGTTCATAAAAGCATTAAGGCGCATTTACGGTTGGTCTGGTGTGCGCGCAAAAATATCCCCAGTCACCGTTACCACGGTTTCTCAAAACTTTCATTCGAGATGGATGGCGTTTTAACGATTTTCCCGCGTGATTCTCACAGATGCAAATTTTTGCCAGGCCATCAGAGAGCCCGGCATTACGTTTTATAAACGGCGTTCGCTCCTCGATTCACGCTTCGCTGAACCGAGCATTATTCCGAAGCAGTCGCTCGCGCTTGGGCAAAACTCGTTTGCTCATTAAAATCTCATAAAACGCTGATACGTCTTTAATCTGTCGTCCGCGAGCGGTTTCCCGTGCGTGAGGAAACCTTTAAGGATGGCCTTAACTTTGATCCTAGACGAGGGACAATCACGGTCGCCTCCTCGGTGCCAAGCGAACCGAGACGAAAGAACCTTCGAAACAGTTAGCCAGGACACCGGGATGCTGTACAGCCAGACTTCTTCCTTCTCTTGGAAAGCAATATTTGTCCTCGATACCGAACAGCACTTTTCATTGTTCGGCGTCTCGTCACGAAACACGGGTCGACGAACTGTGGAACTGTTTAGGCAGTGGATTGAATCGTTAGGTGTGAATAAATCGACGATGGAATGGAAAAGTGGCAAGAAATTCAAGGTGGAAGATAATTTAGGTGAAAATTAATTTTGTGATTGCGAATGATGCAGTTTGGAGATAGTACGAGTGTTGAGAGTAGTATCGATTGACTTTAAACAGAACTTATTGGACTGGAACAAGAGTTCGTAGCGTTTTTTAAGTGAAATTCGAAGACAATGTTTAGATTGGTTTGTGCATAGGTTTATTTAACCACATGTGCTATTTTGTTCTACTATCTTTCGCTATCTTTGATTTCATTCTCTCAGAACTTGGCATCGTTCTGGGCGATGAACTGGTACAGATGGTTGGACAAACGCTACGAACTTTTGTTCGAAGCCAATACTAAAGTATTACTTCCTTTTCGTTCTTGGATATGTTGATATGATGTACTTTACGTTGTAGTGGCAATAAAATTCAAAATGAACAGTCCCCCGATAAATAAATTAGTGTGTTGTAAGTATTGGGTAAAAAATGACGAGTTAACTCATCTTACACAGTTAATAGGTTAAATGTACCAATGAATGGAACCTTCGTAATAAACTTTTAGCATAACTTTCATAGCAATGCAGTGTTCAATAGAATACAGTGAATTTATAGAAAAAGAAACATTTATCTATTAATCACACTTGATAAATTAAAAGTAGGCAACAACATGAAATAGATTAGAGCAATTAGAGTAGTTTGGGCTCAAAAAACCGAAAACCGAGCAAAATTTCGAATAACCATAATCTCAGGAAATGTATCTTTGAAACTCTTCTAAGACACCAGAATCAACCCTCTTTATCAGATTTGATAACCAACAGCGTCCCATATCTTAGCATCTCCATGACGCACACTTTTTATCGCGTGGCTCGAAATCATTTGATTTCGGCGGCGTACGCTTGAAGTTGAAGTTGGTAACGGGGTGTTCGAATTAGCGTTTCGGATCACGGATAAATATAGAGGGCCACCCAGCGAGCAAACTAATGTACCGTGTGCCACGAGCGTGGGAGTAAAACGGAGTTTCGCTCTACTCTCTATGTTCTTCTTTTGTC